CCCCTTCAGCATTGATTCAACGTTGACCCACTCTCATTCGGACCCAAATCGGCATTACCCATTGCTTTTAGACATCGGAACAGCAAGCTTAAGGTCTTTTGAACTCAGATTTGGGAGCCTGAACCCCCTCAACGTCGACCCACTCCTAACCCATGGGGTTTTAGTGTGAGTTAGTAGGTAACAACTCACTTATATTGGATTTTGAGTTAACTAAAGTGGTTTTAGTTAGTTTCTAACTTAATTTGGTTGCCTATGGTTTAGGAAATCCTTCAGCGAGCTTAGTAATGTGTCAGGGCACTTGGTGTAAGTAGTTTCTTACTGGAGGGCTTGGTTGTTATGTGCTGATATGTTATGGTTGCTTGCTCGTGTGCCCATGTGTGATATTTGCATGATTGCTTGTCGTTGTTATCATTTAGTAAACGTCATTATTGATAAAACTGTTGATATATCTTAGGAAAATTATGTGGTTGTGAGAATAAATTGTAACCAAGTAATCTTGGATGACTATGTTTGAATGGTTGTTATGTTCTAATTGGTTTTCATGATGAAAATTGTATACTGGTACTATAATCTGTTGCTTCGATAGCATATTGAATATTTGTGAGAAATCGGTTGTGTTTGATGTATGATGGGTATCTATCGATTATATTTTGGTTGAGTTGTTGATTGTGCCTCCTCTGTGGACGATGCCTGTTGGAGCTGTTGGACTATTTTAAATCGATTGGTTTTTTTTTTTACAGATGATCATTTTGGTGTATCGTGACTGAGGTTATGCTGAACGCACGCACTAAGCGTGGTAACAATTCTATAGATGCAAGCGCACACCTGTCAGAGTAATATAAAATGGATGGAGTATCCAAGTATCGATCCTCAAGGACTTCTAAATAATTTCCAAACTCTAAAGTTTTAATGAATAGTGAACCTTGAAATGAGTGATTCTTGTAAAATGGGAAGTGGTCACAAATAATGGTTTTGGATTCGGGATTTGGTCTTATAATGGTAAAACCTAGCCCGAATTACTTCAAGTTAGCCAACAAAGAATCAAGGATACGCTAAGGACGATATGCATTTTACTTTAGGAACCAACGACTACGCTTTTCACTTGACTTATGTCTAAGCAAGTTCAAAGTCCTAAGACATTCCCTAATATGTCTATTATGAGAGATATCTTAGTTTTAGGATGGAAATAGTCGCAACCT